TTGTTAAATTGCGACATAAGGGTACTAAGGGAACTAAAGACGAAAGTACGGGAATAAGTACTGCGGTGTGAACGCCGGCTTATGTTGCGGCTCTCTTTCTTTCAAATAATGCCCATCGGAATGTGGACCAAAAGGAGATGATGGGAAGACTTTGGACTTTTTGTCACATTCCCCATGGACAATTTGGCAATACACGCAGGGGCAGCATTGCGGTCTGAAAGGGTCTCTGGAAATATGCAAACATTTAATTAAAGTTTTGAAAAAACAGTGACAGGGTTAAAAGCACGAATGGAAGAAGTATTTCGACTATTTACTAGGTAAAATATGTGTTTAGAAGTAATGTCCTGCATTCAAAACTGTCAATGCCCAAGTGAAAAGTATAACATCTGAAAGTAACAATTAATCATTATGTCTATTAGTATTAAATATATATAAGTGTTTGTACAACTTATATTTAGAAAGAGGCCGTTGTAATTTATTGGATGCATAAATGTCGTCTTCCATCCATTCAATGTAGCATCTGCTATAATGGGGTTAATGTATGATTTACTTAATAATACAACACATTATTGTATAATTAGGACCCTCCAGAAAAACGCGAGCCAATAAAATCCTTGATTATGCGGGTAAAATTCCCTTGATTATGCGGGCTAAAAATCCTTGGATTACTGCGTATTAAACATGCGGGGTTTTTATGGTGATTTTATGCGGTGAAACTGCGGGAAGTTTGCGAAATATGCATATCGGGAAAAATCTTAGATTTTTTTTTAAATATGGGCTGTTTTATTTATTCTCTCTAACACCACACCCTGCCACTAACGTTAAACCCTTTACTATTCAATTAAACACATTCAATGTTTATTATATTGTAAAAAGCAATTGGGCTATTTTAATCTCACACACACAAAACACACCCCCCCCCTCCCACACACACCACACACCACACACAACACACACAACCACCACACACACACACACACAACACCCTTCTCCGCCTCATTCCTGTTTTCATTTACTTCGTTCGTATCTGACCAGCTTCAATCTTGTAGGCTACTCACCTTAATTCTTGTAGCCCTCGAAAGGGTTTTGGAGGTTGATGCCTCGGTGAACGTGAGTTGTTGGCTTTCTTGTCCGCAGCAGCAGAAAGCATTTTCGAATGTTTGAATGAAGTCAAAGTGGGTCGTCACGTCGATTTTCTTATGCTCCAACACACAGTTGCACGGGGTGCAGAATAGTTTCCCCCCACTTTTTGCCCGGTCTTTAGTAGAAATGTTCGTCGGTAATGAGATGGATTAGATATTTTCATCTGTGGTGTTTTCTCTTTCGTGTGAGCTCCACAACGTTCCACTTATACAGTGTGGTTTACATTCGTGATGCGCGAGGCTGAAAGACGTCACGTCAAGACGAGCTTAACCTTTTTTTTCTCAAACTTTAAATGTGGACAAAATGCGGGGATTCATGCGCCCTTTTGATAAATATGCGGCCTTTTAAAAATCCGCGCCATTTTGCTGATTATGCGGTAAATTCTGCGGTTGCAGAATCGCGTTTTTCTGGAGGGTCTATATAATACGTGATAATGTATGAGTTGATTTACTTTGATCTACTGTACTGTGTAAAAACACCACAACAATATTACAAAAAATATAATGCGTATTAATGCAAACTATTGTAAAGGTAAAAGTATGAGCATAAAAAATAAAGAAGTGTAAACATTTACATTATTATTATGATTATTTAATATATAAAGACTATATATTATTGAATTACAATTAAGATAATAAGATTAGATATACTTTATTTGATCTAAAATATTGATGTTTTTTAAGTGATTAAATGCTACAGTATTCAAGAAATACAAATGCAGAGCTGCAAACATTGCAAACAAACTAAGGTCTACAACACCCAGTTGTCTTTGTGTATTTGTGAATGAAGCGCAATCTCATGGTTAAATCCTGAAATTGAACAAATGGGTAAATTTGGCATCGCCCTCTTAGGAAATAGTGGGAGGGCTTTAATCTCCCAGCCACTGCGATCGCTGGGTTTTTGGTTGGAATCCGCTGGGTGGAGTCCTATCTGGAGTGCTACATCTGTAATTAGGTTGTTACTGCTGTCCCAGGCATTGGTTTATATTATTTTGCATGGAATTAGAAGCCAAAGTTGTGATCACATTATATTATTTAAAGGAAGCTCAGCTTTCATGCCTAAAGTGACACACCAAACATGTTTGTAACTAACAAATGTTAAGATTGACACAGTTTACAGTAGTGTTAAGCTGTCCTACTGATCGGCAGGTAATGCCAGTAAGGCACAAAAACCGCAAAACTACACTTGCAACAATGATGTTAGCTAAACAATACAGGAATGGGTATTGATTCAGCATTATTATTATTATTCACAGGATTTACAATAGCCTATGATTTGGTGAGAAACTCCTGATGTAAAACATGTTTTTTGTCAACAAAATAGAAAACTGGGCACCTTCAAAGTTTTAACACCAAGGTTCAAGGTTGGTGTCCAGGGAATTATTGTCCTCACAAGTAACCAAATCATTTTTGTGTGATCCAGTGAAGGTTCAGAAGTCGGACCACCCCCACTCCTGGGACCCCTGTGTGAACTTCAGTCATACTTTAAACTCCAGTCTCTGCAACACAAGTGCTACCCTCAACAAGTCGTGGACCGCCTCGAATAATAACACCATCAACAGCCTCGACTACTGCAAGTGTAAGAACGCAGGCAAAGTTAATAAGCCAACATCCCCGTTTCTCAAATATATATATTATATAGTATATTCGGTACTGGTTTTATTTAACTTTAGCTACTACTAGCTAAAGTTGTTACTTATTTAAAGAAAACTACTTACATTATGCCAAAGATTTAGATTTAACAACCTTGCTTGCTAAGCCAAGATGTTATATGGAAGAATACCGAAGTAACTGCTTTACATGATAATGGGCTGAAACCCTTGAAGTTGCCTCAACACATTTTCTATTTCAGAGAGGTTATAGTCTTTTTCTTTTTCAGCTCTAGTATCGGCCAGTTTCTCTCCCGGCTCTACAACATCGGGCCCCAGTAGCCAGAGCTCCAGCACCTTGCCAAGGCCTACAGTTCCCATGAGTCCACGTAACTCGCTGCTTAAACGACGGCAGAGAAAGAAAGAGCACAAAAGCTCCTGTGAGTCCTTTTGTCTGTTTTTACAATAATATCATTTTCTGAAGGGAAATTAATATAAAATATCACTGTTGTGTGTGTTCAGTGTCCCTGGCGTCCAGTTCAGTGGGTCCCGGTGGTCAGGTGGTTCATGTGGAGACCAGTGAGGTTGTCCTAACAGGCGACCCACTCAACGGCTTCGGTGTCCAGCTGCAGGGAGGAATATTTGCCACCGAAACGCTTTCTGCACCCCCACTCATCCGATTCATAGAGCCCGACAGCTCTGCAGAGAGGTGAGCACACGCGTTCATGCATGACTAAACAAATGTGTGTGGTCTGTGATGTACAGCCTTCCTGGCACAAATATCTAATTCTAGTTGTTCTGCCCTTACAGCGCGTATCCTTTTGCGTCGCTAGACAGCTACGCATTTAAAAGTCCTCCAATAAAGGTCCAAGGTTTGCTTTCTTGACTTTACTGTAGATGTATTTGACTTTCTAAAACTGTAACAATACAGAAATAAAACACATATAAGTATGCAGGCTTCACATAACATATAAGTAGCACTGTAAAAACGACACACATACTACTATTAAAGGAATTAGCTATCATTAGCATCACTATTAGCTAGAAATAGCACAGATCACAATTAGCTAAATTAGCACACATTAAACTAGCTTCAGACCAAAAGGTACAAACTTCAAACATTCTGCACGTAACACATCCAAATTGCACATTAATAACTCAAAGACAAATAGTCTCCAAGGCTCAAGAATCACAGACACGAACACAGTTTACATGACGTCTCTGCTCCATGTGTTGATCTCCGTGCTCCGTTTACAAAGATACTCGCAAAGCAGAGAGCGCTCACTCTGACACGCTCCGAGCAAACCAACACAACCAAGGAGCGCTCACTCACCCAACTCTATAAGCATAGAAATAGGCAGCACACAAGTTAATTTTAATGTCATAGTCCAACAGAGATTTGCAGGAATTAGTCCTTAACCTGGTAATAAGTGAGCATTTCAGCATGTCCAGGTTGCCTTGTAAGAAGGTCATTGGTTTTTCGTTAAATTCTTGATTGCGGATGTTGTGGTTAATAAAAGCTTATGAAATGTGTGTATTTTGTTCTGCAATATTAAATATGAAGTTACTCCACTGGTGAACATTCAGAGCTTTTATGTGTTTTAAAAAATGGCGGTTGTTAATAAGTGTCTAAATAAGACGACTAAACGTCATCATACTGAACATTAGACACCTTTAGCTTAGCGAAGGGGGCCGTGAAGTCATGTGACCCTGATGTGATTCCTTTATAGCCAGATGTTAGCTTTAGTTCAACTTGTATAAAGAGTTAATATGAGGAGACTATCCTGCTGGATAAAAAGTGTAAGCATCATAAACGCGCGTGCAACAGATGTTGTTTTCTGCAATATTCTAAAATGTCATGGAAATATCCCATTACCTTGGGTTTTATGGTTGGGATAATACGTTTAAACTATAACTTCACAAATGTATTAGTTTATTATTACTCAATTTACAACAATTTGAAAGGTTTATAATAGATAAAGGTGAACATTATTGACACAGTAGTTTAAACATTGTTGATTTTGTTAGTGTTAATATTGTATCCAATATATTATATGAGGCTATTTTTTGATAGGTTCTCTTCCCTGCAACATTGGCTGTATGTTACAATTAGGG